TGCCTCTGCAGAAAACAAAAAAAAAATCTGCGCTTTGGATCCTGGATATTGTCACAAAAGAAAGTCATCGATTATTTCAACTATTTGGAAGAYAGTTCAACTCAGGATGTCTTTTCAGTTAATGAGAGTTTCTAGTTAATCAGAATTTTCTAGGACACCCAGCTGTTACTATCTCAAAATTAAACCCAATTTTTTGAACATTCAAAACTGTAATCCTCTGTTTGGCTGTTCTTTCTGTGACTTTAAACATATCATTAAAGCTGTAGCATAATCAACAAACTTTTCTTAGAAGAGAAATATTTATGTTTTTGAAACACAGATAGAACGTGATTACCAGAACTTTTTACATCTTTTCCAAATGTTGCTTTGATGATTACAGCATGCAAATGAGAAGAAGACAAGTGCCACTGAACTGGTGGATTTTACAGAACTCCCACAGAGCCTACTAAATACCATGATCAAAATTAGAGGATGCCAGTAAGTACACTCAAATGAGCAAAATTTTCAAGTTTACAGAACTTGTAGATGAAAAAGGAAAGKGCCATGTATATCTTGATTGTTCTAAATTCAGCATGTTTTCAGAGCTTCCTAATGCCTACTGTGATGTTCCAGAAAACAGGGATTCAGGAAGCGTTTGTCTCACACAAATGATCTTAGTACCTTGGAAATTCTTCTGCTAAAGAATCACTCAGAGAAGAGAAAGCAGAGACAGCTCTGTGACCCTGAAAATCAAAACTCTTCTTTCTTATCATTAGATTTTAACCAGTATTAGAAGACGACTCAATGAGTCCACTATTAAAAGTGAGTAAAACACAAATGAAAAATTTTGCCAAGGACACAAGAATCCTATAATGCTACAGCATRTCTACAGGCTCAAATCAAACTTTGTAAACTTTGTAAATCGAAGTTTACATTAGAGCAGATATAAGACTAGAGCTTCATATTTTACCATAATTTTCACTGTGCTACAGTTGTTTTCTTCAAGAAAGGAAGAGATTTTCCTCATAAAATCTTCTGCACAATGCACTGTGTATTTAGTTGTCAAGAAGAAACAGTTTCCACTYTGCCTGCAAAAGCTTTCCTGAAGGCAGAATAATGAATTTATCATATAAAAGTAGGATCTTCAGATTACAGAATTTGAAAGATGTCCAGCCTTTTAAACTTGGTGGTGTTATTTATTTGAGTCTGCCCTAACCTACCTTTTCATTTTCAGGATTACAATAATCCAAATGAAAAACAATGAGACCCATACATCAGTCACATTGAAGTCATTTCACATTCAATAACTCTTTGATCAGTTTAAGGCAGTTTAATTAAACCTAGTACCAGGAAATTACTATGTTTTCATGTGTATAAGATGCCCTGGCTCAGCTCCCCTGAGTTTTGTGCCTGGAAATAAGTCCTCAAATAACTCATAGCATAAAACAAGCCTTTGACAAAGAACGAAAAGAAATGGAAGGAAATAGGAGATAAATGAGGGGACATCAGCACAGATTTCAAAACAAATTCTCCTTTTTTTTTTTTTTTTTGCTAGACAACTAGAATCCAGGTGTTATGGATTCACAAGATAAAGCAATATTTTCCATGGGAGAAGAGGTGTTGGCAGCTTTCAACATGCAGTGACTTGCACATTCTGTTGCATGCCTCCATATTGAAGTAGCATATATGAGAATGCTGTTTACTAACAATACCTAAAGGTATCTTTGCAGCATCTCCTGGCAAGTGCAATTATCACAYTGTGTTACAGTTTCTATTAATAACAATAGGTGTCAAAAATGCTGTGAAAATAGGTGCAATCACTTTGCACCAAAATCAAAGCCACACATTATGTTGCTCCCCTCTGTTTACCTAGCATGAGTTTTGTCTTAGAAAACTAGCAACCCAAACAGGCTCAACAGATAGAAGGAGATGAGAGCCAGMATTGCTGTATGGGGACCTCATGAGAGCTCATCAATCATTTGGGAATAATAATGGGATTTCCCAGACATCACAGTTCTCCCATCTCTATCCTGCTTGTCCTCTCTCATTGACATACTTGTTGTCTACACTTGAGGCTAGCTTAACTGTTCTGAAATTTTATTCCCTATCTGCAGAATATAGAAACTCTGAAAATGCGGGGTACAAAAACAACATATGGCAGGTATAATTCTACCCTTCTCCACACTCATTCACAAGTGTATTTCTACAGCAATTCAAAAATATAATACCGGCAGACTAATATAGACAGTAACTTAAAAGGCAATCCTGAATTGAARTACCTTCCAAATAGTTGTAAAAATTGGTGACTGCTCTGTGACAGTAGCCACTAGCCAATGTCAGCTCTGCAATACRTGGAAGGGTAAAGAACAACCATCCTTTGACTAGACCTTGCAAAGTAGTGTTGCAAAATAAGCAGGCAGCTTGCTAAAACATCATTAAAGATGCTTCTGACAGCACTTGGTCACTAGTGCCCCAGTAACGTAAAGAAGGAGGAGATGTCCTACAAAAAAGCTCTGGCAACCAGAGCCAGCACAAGTCAAAGAAATGCATGAAATAGGAAGGATGTGAAGGAGAAATGTGCTTGTCTTCCTAGATGCTGCTTCTCTCACTTTCTCTTGTGCTGGCTTACAACTCTCAAGATCACTCTATGAAGCATTCCCATCTGTCAAAAAATGCTCAAATGGACTGCTATGTGCTATTGCAATTGCTGGGACAAACAGAGGGTCTAAAATGAGCTGAGGAGCCCTCTTAACACTTGTCAGCATGCTCTGGGATCCCCACCAATGCCACAGAGCTCCAGAGGTTCCTGGAGAAGAAAGATGCTCTAGGGCATCCAGGCAACATCCATCCTCAAGGAGCAGGACTTGTCTGCACATACACTGCTCCCAGCACCAGCAATGTTTCAACCATTTTATATCTTCTGCAGGCTCATGTGAGCCAGGGCTTAGTTAGAGCCCCTGAAGGCTCCTTTCACTGATGTGCAAAAGGAGGCTGGGAAAAGGAAGACATTGGTATATTTCCTAATCAACTTCCTACGCCTTTAACAAAATCTAACATAGTAAGTCATCATGAACGCCTGGTGACAAATGCCAACATGCAATGATACCAGTTATAACACAAACAAAGCACCTAGAAAACCACCCTTAATACTTGYGACAGACACTCAGATTCGCTAAGCGGCTGAGATTAGTTTAATGATTTCCCATTTAGTCTTTAAATCTACTCTTAATATGGCACTACATTTCTAATTAAGGATAGAAAACATTGATTTAACATTTCTGCCATTATAGATTAGATGTTACATGCTACCTCTATATTATTTAAAATTTCTTGTTCTGAATATAAAAAGGAATTTGCAAAGTCAGGCATGGGGCATAAGTTCTTATAATGAGCCATTCATCTTCAAGTCAAGCTTTATAATAACTGTTACAAGTTAGTTGGGAGTAAGAAAAATGAAACAGAGAAAAATGGAATGTGAATAACTGCTGAAATTATAGAAATGCCAAATTTATACCGACTGAAGCACAATACTATTTAAAATACCACAATTGTTTGTGACACTTCATTTTCACCACTGCTATCACAACTTATTGAAACCACACAGTGTATCAGACAGTTCACAAATATCTACTGGGTTGGCATATAATATGACAGACACTCAGATTAAAAAAAAAAAAGCCTTTTTTTTTAAGAATAAATATCTCAAAATTCACAACCAAGGGACCACGTCCTATGGCGAAGATAGTGGAGAGAGGCATTATAGCCTTGGGAACAGAACTGTAATAATATCTACTCTTTCCTTACTCATGATAACCTAAGATATCTGCTGCCAGAAAAACAACTCTTTTCACATGGAAAAGCTTCATGAGAGAAACAGGTAACATGTTTTATTGTCCTCTATGTGACTTTAGCAGGACTTTAGAGTAGAAAATAAAATTGGAGTCCCTTTGGTATCAGAGCCACAGTATCATGAAAAGCAAAGCACTTCCAGTTTGCATTCAGATTTGCAGACTTTTCAGATTCAATGGTTACTATCTCTGCATTTCCAGAAGGAAATGAGATTTCCTACTTGTTTTTTTTTTTTCATAGCTACAATATTTGATTTAAGTCTATATATTTGAAGTTGCAATAGCTACACTGAACAATAATAATCTATAGGATGGACAAAGAGAGAGGAAAAACAGACAGAGCTGGCACATCTTTTCATCCAGTGTAGCAGATAAAGAACATACTTTCAAAAATTGTTTCTGTGCTTTTGACTCATTCTTAATTTAAAATTGTGTTTTAATCAGCAAGGCTAATTTGTGAAAGGACAAAGAAAGTGACAAGGCTCAGCTACACTCATGCACTGGCGTCTGTGGCTCTGAATGAGCTGTGCTGAGCTCTGCCATCAGCTTTTCCTATGCCCTCAACTTTCAACCAGATTCCTCCTGCCAACTGATGTCAAAAGAAAAACTTTACATTAAATGCCCAGGGATCCTCTCTGTTTTTAGGGCTAAGCTAGTAGCACAGACAATGAAGAACRACAAACAGGGAGCTGGATCTCCTAGGTGAAGGAGATACTATGAACAAGGGACTGCAGTGGAGCAGGGACTAGGGAAGTTCTGCATACTATCCTTGTCCTATGTCAGTTGAGAGAGGTCAGCGCTCTGAGGGAAAAAAACAGAAGATTTGACTAACCATTTGGTACAAGACTTTGATACCAGTCTCTCCTTTCATTTCTGCACTGCATATACAAGGAATAACCAGCAAATTAGGTGAMGAAAATCCTTGAAAACACACTGTATCTACTTTACTTGGTATGCTTGCATCTGAGGCCTGACTAACTCATGCAGAACTGTCTTCAGGGTACCTCACTGTCTGAGTGATATGTTGGATATTAACCTTATTAGACAAAAAAACATTCTTCCTCATGAACAATAGGATCAAAAATGACTTTATCCCTAGGGGACAAAACTGTGTGCCTCCTAGACCTGGTGCTATTTGATGCTAATTTTTGAATCACCTTAATGTTCACTTACCTCCACGAAAATGAAACAGGGGATGATGGAATAGCTCCTCTGGGTATTGTTTCCTAAAGCCATTTCTCGTCACTCTTCTTGGGGAGGCACCGTATAAAATTTTAGTATCCTGAAAAACACATGACAAAGACATACAGTAAGCTTCAGTTTTTGGAAACTACACTTTCAAGACAATGTAGTTGTCATGCGGCGCTCAAATGTCTGTTTGTCCAAAGAATATGAAGATCTAACCTTTTCTACAAAACAACTTGCCTGTTTTCTACAAAACAACCTGCCTCTACCTTCCACAGACCACAGTAATAAAAATAAAACCATGTTCTCTCCAATCCGAAGGCAAGAATTCTTTCCCAGGACTGTAAATACTGTAAAACTGTATTTTTAGTGCAAAACCCATAGTCTTGCCTACATCATATACTTTTTTTAATCCAGAATTTTATGTAAATTAATTTGTTAATTTCTACTTCAAAAATKCCTTACTCTTACAATCAAAATGCTCATCTGCATAACCTTAAACAATTTAATATGATAGCATGGCTTATTCAGGCAAAAAAACCTGACAGAAGCGAGCATAACATGATTAGACCATGGTTTCAGTGTCTTTCTGGCCTGCTGTAATTTAGTACATTAACCCACAAAAATTTTCTTACTTAGTGTTATTTCAGGGAACTCACTATTTTAATTGTACATAACTTTGTGACACTCTGCAATAGGATATTTAATCTCTTTACAGAACAGAAATTATGAAAGGAGAGAAATGAGGAGTAACATAGAGAATTTTAACTGTTCATGTGCATGCCTGAGGTAAGGCATCCAGAAGATCAGTCTGACTTCAAATCCTCAGCTCCCAGGTTAAATATAGGCACATAAAAGACAGAGCACAGATTTTGGTGGACCCAACCCCACTTTCAATGATCATATAGAAATTCTTCCCTAACTAAGGGGTTTACTCGATGTGTCACCTTCACAGGGAGGAAAGAGGTGAAAGTTGACATATTTTTCAGAGTATGGTGCTCCTTTGCATGCATGGTCTGGGCATCAGGGCAGCAACTGCCTTGGCACATGGAGTCTGTGATGTCCAAAGAGAAGTCAGTGCTTCTCCACGAGCTCTCAGGAGGGGAGCTAGAAGCAATACAAACACTAGAGCTCAAYAGAGGATACCAAGCCTCTGCTTGAGAAATTGGGTTATCTATCAAGGATTGCAGCTGACACTGAAGCTCATGCCAGTTTAATAACTTGTATCTCAAWTCTTCAAAATCTAACCAAGTTCTGTAAGACAGATGATGCTTAGGAAATTTTTGGTAATGTTTTAGAACTGCATTAACTCAACTTTAGAGATGTCAGTGAAGACTGGTGAAACCACACAGTGTCAAGACGGCTTCTGAGCTTTAAATCATTGAAAAAGACAGTTTTGAGCCAAATAAAATATTTAGCAAAAGGCATCTGTGACATGTTTGGCACTCCTCCCCTACACTACACGCAAATTCTGAAATGCGTATATTCTGGATTTGCAAAATGACTGTTTCTCCAAGCACACTTCAGCTTTATTTAAGAGATAAGTACATGAATTTTATCTTGTTGGTTACTGTCATTGTTTTCAAAAAGAACAATTTAATCCAAACCAATTTAGACTGCAGAAAAAAAAAATCATTCAATTCTTAACATTTTTCATGCTGCAATCTCTTGTGCCACATGGTTCACTTTTTAGCTCTGCCAGCTCATGGTGAGTGGTAGAATGGTAGACCTACGAGTGGGAATAGCTTAAAGAGYACTGCTACATCAAAATCTTTCTCTGTCCTAGGGATAAGGAACATCCTGTTGCAAATTATGTTTTTCAAATGAATTACTGCAAGGATGCTAACATCTTAGCACATTCACGAATGCATGCACAGGTCAGGCTTAGAAATGACTGAGTATTTTCAACCCATTGTCCTGTAACTTAAACCTGTGCTTTTTGTTCCAGCTGCTGTGACTACTATGTCTTCCTAATCCAAACACAGAGCTTCAAGGCAACTCAGTAATTCAAGAAATACGCTCAAGAAATGATGAAACAATTGCACAGATTATAGCAAAGTTCTTTGGTAAGCATACAATTTTGCCTAATTTAATGTTGAGGGTCTTTATATGATAAATAGGTATCACTATGACTGTTCTTTAACATTTATTGTGCAACTCTATGTGTTGCACATTATCTACAGGGCATGCCAGCTTTCTGTGTTCTAACAGATGTAAACAACTGTTGGATGAAGCAGTTGATGAGTTGTTCAGGTCCGCTACTTCTCCTAGCACAGGTAAACTCTTTGCCTGCCTATAGCTGATATAACAGATCTTTTCACTTTCTAAAAAAAAAAAAAAAAAAAGGATCAGTATGATTTCAGTGAGCTCACACCAACCTTTGTTCCTCTCCAGCTGGTGATGAGTACACAAATAGTTCACTCACAGACCTAAGTAAGCCCTCGATGCTTCTGTCTGCCCAGCAGTCAGAGAAACACTTGCCTGAAGAATCATGGAATTATAAGAAGGTGTAAAAAAGAGGTGTTTAGTGGCAGTCTGATTTTATAATCCGTAATAGTCTCTTCCTATCAAACAAATTAAGAAGAGCGTCTCCAGCAGGTCGAGGGAAGTGATCATCCCCCTCTACTCAGCCCTGGTGAGGCCACATCTGGAGTACTGTGTCCAGTTCTGGGCTCCCCAGTACAAGAGGGATGTGGAGCTGCTGGAGAGAGTCCAGCGCAGGGCTACGAGGATGATCAGGGGCCTGGAACATCTGCCCTATGAACAAAGGCTGAGAGAGCTGGGTCTGTTCAGCCTGGAGAAGAGGAGGCTGAGGGGGGACCTGATCAGTGTCTATAAATACCTCAAGGGAGGCAGTGAGGAGGAGGGGGGCGGCCTCTTTTCAGTGGTGGACAGTGATAGGACTAGAGGAAATGGCTTCAAACTGAAGCATCGGAAGTTCCACAGGAACTTAAGGAAGCATTTCTTCACTGTGAGGGTGACAAAGCACTGGAACAGGCTGCCCAGAGAGGTTGTGGAGTCTCCTTCTTTGGAGATCTTTAAAACCCACTTGGATGCAGCCCTGTGCCAYGTGCTCTAGGTGACCCTGTGTGAGCAGSGGGGTTGGACTCGATGACCTCTGAGGTCCCTTCCAACCTTCGGCATTCTATGATTCTATGATTCTATGAAATTTTCACAGTGAAAAGTCTTTCACCAAAGCAACAGAAAAAACAGCCTTAATTAGCATTTTCTATTGAGTTCTCTATTTTTATTCTTAGTTTCATCAGTTTGACTGCAGTGTTCAGGAACTTAAAAAAAAAGCTATTTGGATTSCACTTGCTGTGACCTTTTAATGTGAGCACTACAGATAGGTCAAATATATTTCAACTAATTAAGGAACCTYGTAAAGGCAATATTAATAATCTGGAGTGCTATAAGATGTTTCTGCTCTTAAAGTAGTGTGGTTGGATAATACAATATTCRTGAATTAATTAGCACGAGCTAGTTCTCCTCTTACTCAGTTTACCCTGCATTCATTTTCAGAAAGCCCTTGAACTAAGCAAGGAGAGTATTGAACTATAACTAGGAGAGTATTGTCTAATTTCTCATGGGAGATGAATAGAAACATAGAAAGTACAAAAGTGAATTGAAAATTAACTAAAAAGGACAATAAAGAAAGAAGAATTAATGTTGAAGAGATTTTATTTCTTCTGGGATCAATTGAGGAGAAAAAGAAGAACATCAACAATCAAGGCAAAGAGAAATTTTCTAAAATACGGCATTTTCTTGCAGGTTACTAACCAGCTAAAGAAATTCTGGAAAAAGAAAAAAAACAACAAAAAAGTTATATGCTAAAGCTTTTTTTACTTTGCAGAGAGCAAAAGGTACATATCTAGGACAGATCAGCACTTGCTGACACTATAGTATCACTTCAGCAGCAGAGACACCAACAACCAATTACCATCCTATAACGACTAGTACTCCATGAATTATCTGTGAATTACTTCTGAAGAAGTAATTAAAAAACAGAGTTTTGGTAGTAGAGAGCTCCCCTAACATGAGGAAACCATAAGCTGCCCTGTGCCGGATGGCTCTGAAACAGATGAAAACAGCCCATCATCCACCAAATCTTCAACTGTCAGAGAGAGATATATTTGGTACTGCTACTCAAGCATACATAAAGAAGGGTGATAGCCTCAAGGAACAGGAGAAAATTGCGGGGCAAGTCAGGACACATGTGAATGCAGGCAGAGGAACAGACAGAAGAGGGGAGATGTGAGGAGAAATTTGAAAAGGCACATGTGGAGAAATGAGATTCATGCTGGGACAGGGACACCTTGAAAGGACCATGGACATGGGAGACCAGTGGAAGAACAGGGTTCCATTATAAACATCTTAATTCCCACTAAAACAAGAATTTGGTTTACAAAGTAAAAAATCACTAAAATTTCTTCATTGGTCCATCAAGGATCAGCGTGTACAACTGATACACAGAAATGCACATGTGAAACCTTAATTCAACTAAGGAATAAATTCAAACTAATGACACACTTTAAGACGATTATCCAAACCTTTGCTGAGAACTATATCATTATAGACATTATTAGACTCTTAGAGATCTCATTCCAAAGCAGTCTCCTCTTTCCTGTGGTGGAGCAAGGCCAGAAAGAGTTGAAGTGATAAAGTGCCAAACATTGTGCAAAGACTCAATTTCTAGACTGAAAGAAAAGTCCCTCAGTTTCCTGCCAAGTGCTCTATCCACTTGACTGTACAATCCTTGCACTTCAAATTTACTTGCAAATTCTACACAAGAATGATACAGCTACTGAATGCACACTTAAATAATAAAGGTTTCCCTTARCTTGATACTGCTACACCAAACCATTTTTTTTTTTTTCCTGTGGAAAAGCCAATGGCTGGGAATAAATCAGAGCTCTGCACAAGCATGGATCAAACACTCACCAAGTCATGACAGTCTCATGCTTTCACCCTGGAACTTCACCAAGTCTTATCCAAAACACAATTTACTATCCCCACAATGAGCATGCATTTAATTTTAATCCGACTTCAAACAGAATAGTAGAGCGTTAAAGCACTTCAAGTTTCCCAAAGTTCTTT